TTAGATTTTTATTACAATATGTGACTACAGATTATTAAAAAGTTAAAATTTTAGTAAAATTTGAATAAATTACAACTCTTTTATGATGTTGATAACTTTTAAAATAAATCATTATATCTTTTAATTAAAGAAAAAGAAGAGGATAATGTAATTATATACTTAATTAAGGGTTATGTTCTCTTGTAATTGAGGATTGAACCTCACAATACTCGAGCATATCTAAATTGGGTAGTATCATTATTATTATGCACCAATTTTAATAATTATTTGAAGTGAATATTACTATTTTTTTTGTTCTTATATCGAATATCAAGAGAACAAGTTACCTAGGAATTTTTCCTATTTATGTAATCAATTTACATTTACTTTCCTTTTCAAAAAATACAACGTTGGAAAAAGAAAATAAAAAGTGGAAATACACGGCCAAAAGTCTCCCCATCCGCTCTACGCGGCAGGAAAACCCATGCGCTTCGGCTACGCCCTTTCTGCACATTTCCAAAAGGGCAAGACAGACTCAAACACAGTGATATCACTAGGGGCAAAAAGGTAAATTGAACGCCACACCTCCTTCCTTATATTTGCCTACGAGTTCTCTTAAGAAGCAAACTGCACTGCAGTAAACAAGGAATTTTCATGTCTGCGGGAGAAACGGAGAGATGATGTAGATCAAGGAAAATATCATCCGGCTGATTAAACGGAAATAATCTTTAGAAGAAAGCTGTAGTAGTAATGGTATTGTGAGGAGGCGGAGACGATGATAGGAGGAGATGCAGGCGAAAGCACTGGTAGCGGCACTGCAGCGTCATACGGAGGGATGGCGGAGGCGCAGTACGCGACGGCCAAGACTTCGGTATGGTGGGACATAGAGAACTGCCAAGTGTCGAAGGGATTCGACCCCCACTGTATCGCTCAGAACATCAGTTCTGCCCTCGTCAAGATGAACTACTGTGGTCCTGTCTCCGTCTCCGCCTATGGCGACACCAATCGCATCCCCGCCTCCGTCCAACAAGCCCTATCTTCCACGGGAATCGCCCTCAACCATGTCCCCGCTGGTCTCTCTCTCTCTCTCTCTGTCTCTCTCTTTTCTACTTTTATAATGCATATTCTGCGTGCATACTGGTTATCGTTTACTTAGTTCATCAAATTGGCGATCAGGTCAAGGTTCACTTACTCTGTGGGATTTGGTTTTGGAGGCTGATTTGGTTAGTAGGTTTTTGTTTCGATTAAGTATGCATTTAGGCTGCCTTTCAGTTCTCTTTCCATTCCACTTGATCTTAATTTTCATACTAGTCTTAATATATGGAATTAAAATATATTTTATAATTGATCTCACACTCATGCCCACCATGAATTTCCATTTCCTCAACTGTGGAATTCATTTTTCACTTTAGTAAATTAAATTTACATAAAGAATTCGAAGTGATGATAGAGAAAATCAAACATGCAAAGTATTTTCTAATTCTACATCTTAAAAAGACTAATATGGAGGTTAAAAATAGGAATTAAGTTACTCGGAAACAGACAGAGGGATGCAGCGTTTCTGTTTCCTCTTGGCATTGAGATTTGTTGTTTACCTAATTTAGACTGAGATTGTCCAATGGAACGTAACTTCAGAGAAGGTAATAGGTGTACGGATAAGCCAGCTAATGTAGCCTGTGATTATCCATTTAGGACAACTTTCCTTCGGCCTTGGCCAAGATGTTTCATGAGCATTTTTATTTTAATCTATTTAGCACAACTTAGTCTAGATTTGTAAAAGATAAAGTTTTGTTTTGTTTCTTTGAGAAAAGACTAAGTTTGCATTTCCACTTTCCAAAAAACAAGAGTTAAGTGGGAAAGAAATGTAAATTAAATCAAACACAACATTTACTATTTATGGTTTGAACTATTTTGAATTTGCGTCAAAGAAAAAATGGGTAAACTTCTTAATTTTCTAAGGAATCATTTTCAATTACTAAGGTTCGTTTTTGGTTTAAAAGAAAAGAATGAGGTATGACTAAAAATTCCGATTATAAATTGGTTGATGAGACTTACGACTTAATTTGTATTGAAAATCTATTCTATTATTCTAATATATTTTTAATGTAATTATTTTGAAATATATAGGTTGAAAATACCCTTTTGAATAAAGAAAAGAAGGAAATTGTCCGATATTGGACCTGATAACTACATCAATTTACACCCATTATGTTAAATTAGAGTTTAATTCAATTAGGAACGTATCATAAAAAAA